CTTTGGTTTAGGTTCATTGTAATTTTTATCATTGTAATTTTTATATTATGTGGCAGGACTGTTTCACTAAGACTTTGGGAGGGAGAGGAAGTACATGTATGGCCTCAGGCCATCATCTTGAGCCAGAAGTTTTAACAGTATTTACTGAGTGAATTTTACGTCAGATCTTTCTAGGGTGGAATGCTAAATCCAAACACTACGAAAAGTACTGCAGGCCAGGTCTAGGCAGTACGGCACTGACATTATCTGGAAAGCCATCTGGGATTCCAAATACATCTTAGGCCTTGTGATACTGTCCCACACTCACTGAAGCTCTACACATTTTTTTTTCAGTCTTTTTTCTCTATGTCCTTCAGACTGGATAGTGCCTAACTGACTGATCTTTAAGTTCACAGACTCTTCTGCATCTCTACTTTGCAGTTTAAATGAATCAGTAAACTTTTCATTTAAATTTCTCCGTTCTAGGATACGTATCAGGTTCTTTTTTTACAGTTTTTATTTCTCTGCTGAGATTTGCTATTTATTCATTCATTACAAGCAGATTTTCCTCAACGTCCTGAGTAGTTACAACTGCTGCTTTAAAATCCTGTCTATGGAGTGTCTCAGTGGCTCAGTCAGTTAAATATCCAACTCTTGATTTCAGCTCAGGTCATGATCTCAGGGTCATGAGACTGAGCCCCACGTTGGGCTCCCTGCTCAGCGGAGAGTCTGTTTCAGATTCTTTCCCTCTGCCCCTCACCCCACTTGGGCACTTGGCACTCTTTCTCTCTCAAATAAATAAATCTTTAAAAAAATAATAAAAATGAAAATAAATAAATAAATAAATTTCTGTCCACTAAATTCCGAAGTCAGGATCATATTGGGGTAAGTGAGGAGTGACTACTAATGCAGTTTCTTTTTAGGGTGATGAAAAAGTTCTAAAGTTGACTATGGTAATGGCTGCTTAAAATATTCCACAGAAGAAAATCTCAATTTTTCAGGGTGCCTAGCTGGCTCAGTCAGTGGGGTGTGGGACTCTTGATCTTGGGGTTTTGAGTTCAAGCCCCATGTTGGGTGTATAGATTACTTCAAAATAAAATCCTTTAAAAAAAAAAGCTTTATTTATTTATTTGAGAGACAGAAAGACAGCACGAGTGGAGGGGCAGAGGGAGAGGGAGAGAAAACCTCAAGTGCACTCTGTGCTGAGCACGGAGCCCAAGGCAGGGCTCAATCCCAGGACCCTGAGATCATGACCTAAGCCGAAACCAAGAGTTGGACGCTCAACCAACTGCAGCACCCAGGTCCCCCCTTAAAAATAATTTTTTTTTTTTAAAAAGAAAGTTCAATTTCTCAATTAACAGCAAGTCCCTTATTCTAAGTGCTGATTTAGCATCAATCCCAAGTGCTAGAATTTGCTAAGAAATAAATTAACTCCTATCAGACTATAGAGATATAACAACTAGTTTCATGTAACACATGAAACTTGCTTGGATCCTGGTTCCTATAGAAAACTATAAGACATTTTGGGGACAGCAGAGAAAATGTGAATATGAGCTATTAGATGATACTAAGGAATTATGCCAAATTTTACTAGATATGATTACGAGGAGAATATTTAGGAGTCACATACTGAAATATTACATGTCATGAGGTCTACAACTTACTGTCAGCTGATTCAGTTAAACACACACATACACACACAGAAGGTAAATATTGCAAAACATTAATAGCATTAATAACTGTCAAATCTAGGCAGTGGGTGCTAACTATACCATGCTACCAATATTTCTGGATATTCGAACTTTTCATTCCAAAAAACTGGGGGGAGAAGCTACATGGCTAAAAAGAAATTTTATTCAGGATTTTCAGCCACTTAATAATTAAAATCCACATAATGTTAACATAATTTTATTTTGGCAATGATTTTTCATCCCAGGAATCCTTATCAGCTAACATTTTTCTACCTATTACCCCAGTTACCACAAGATGTCACTCTTCGCATGTTCAAATCAAAAGTCTTGCAAGGGAAAAGGCCATTATCAGTACTAAATGGAAAATGCACTCAACTTCCAAGTTAATCTGAAAAACTTTAGAACCTTTTATATTTAGGAAATAAAGTTAAATAAATCCTCTCAGTTCACAGACAATGAAATACAGACTAGATATAAATGTTAAACTGAAAGTTTTTTAAAATTTCGGATAAGAAAGCTTTATCTGCAGGACTATCACTATCTTCAAGGAAACAGTCCCACTGTCAGCTACTTTAGTAACCAAATGTCTCAGAATGTTCTAAATAACCCTGGGGTCAATCCAGAGAAATGGGGCCAACTAGCCAGAGCTCAGAACTACAAGACATGTTTAGGACTCCTGCAGATAAGCCACTCTCTTGGAACTACTTCAAATCTCCCTGGGGTGCCCAGGTGGCTCAGTCAGTTAAGCCTCTGCCTTCAATTCAGGTCATGATCCCAGGATCCTGGGATCGAGCCCCGCATCGGGCTCCCTACTCAGTGGGGAGCCTGCTTCTCCTTCTCCCTCTGCCTACAGCTCCCCGCTGTGTGCTCTTGCACACTCTCTCACTTTCTTTCTCTTTCTGTCAAATAAATAAATAAAATCTTTAAAAACAAAACAAAAAACCTCCCCACCTCTGCACCCACAGCACATGGGATCTGGCCCAACACTGTGTTTGCCTATTAAACTTCTGTCAAGGAATAACACACTGTCAGAGCCCAAAGGAGCAGTATTATGAACGAAAAGATTTAAAAGCTTTAACTAACATACCAAAAAACGGTTATTCCCATTCTCCTTGTCCCCACGCCCAACCTGGGTATCATTAAAGTGTACTACAACTTAAAATTTATTAACATTTGAGGAATCTGGATGAAGAATACATAGGAATTTTTAAGAAGCATTATTTTTTTTTTTTTTTAAGATTTTATTTATTTATTTGAGAGAGAGAATGAGAGACAGAGAGCATGAGAGGGAGGAGGGTCAGAGGGAGAAGCAGACTCCCTGCCGAGCAGGGAGCCCGATGCGGGACTTGATCCCGGGACTCCAGGATCATGACCTGAGCCGAAGGCAGTCGCTTAACCAACTGAGCCACCCAGGCGCCCAAGAAGCATTATTTAGAAATAATTCCAAATTTATAAAAAGGTGCAAAAACTGGTACAAAAGCACCCATATACCATTTTCCTCAGATTTGCCTATGTTAACAGTTTACCGATCCGTTTACATCATTTGCTATCTTGTATCCCTATTTATCTGTCTCTATCTATCCCTGATGTTTTTCCTGAACCCTTTAAGGATATACATCATGGGGGCACCTGGGTGGCTCAGTCGTTAAGTGTCTGCCTTTGGCTCAGGTCATGATCCCAGGGTCCTGGGATGGAGCCCCGCATCGGGCTCTCTGCTCGGCGGGAAGCCTGTTTCTCCCTCTCCCACTCCCCCTGCTTGTGGTCCCTTTCTCTCGCTGTCTAATAAATAAATTAATTAAATCTTTAAAAAGGGGCGCCTGGGTGGCTCAGTCCGTTAAGCGGCTGCTTTCGGCTCAGGTCACGATCCTGGGGTCTTGGGATCGAGCCCCACATCCGGCTCCCTGCTCAGTGGAGAGCCTGTTTCTCCCTCTCCATCTGTCACTCTGCCTACTTGTGCTCTCTCTCTGTCAAATAAATAAATAAAATCTTTAAAAAAAAAAATTAAATCTTAAAAAAAAAAAGGATATACATTACATCACGGCTTTTTACCCCTAACTATTCAGTGTGTGGTTCCTAAGTATAGAGACATTTACTTACATAAACACAGTATAGTTATCAACTTCATAAGCTTATACATGTTTATCTAGCATCTACTTTTTTTTTTTTAAGATTTTATTTACTTGAGAGAGAGAATGAGAGAGAGCACATGAGAGGGGGGAGGGTCAGAGGGAGAAGCAAACTCCCTGTCGAGCAGGGAGCCCAATGCGGGACTCGATCCTGGGACTCCAGGATCATGACCTGTGCCAAAGGCAGTCGCTTAACCAACTGAGCCACCCAGGCGGCCTCTAGCATCTGCTTTTGACCAGTTTTGTCATAACATCCTTTATAGCATTTTCCCTACAGTACTAGACCCAGCCTAGGCAAAGGTATTACATTTAATTGTCATGTCTCCCTAGGCCCCTTTAATCTGGAACTTTTCCAAAGGCTTTTATGACATTGGCATTTTTGAGGAATACAGCACCTCTTGTGTTTTTAGTAAAACATACTTTATTTTTTGTCTATTTAATGTTCTTTATGATTAACTGAAGTTATGCCTCAGCCAGAATACGGCTTAGCTGATGCCGAGTCCGATTCTGTGTGCCTCTGTCACTTACACGATGACCCAAAGTGTTGCCCAAATTTTTCCACTGTATAATTTCTGGTTGTTTCTTTTTCCTCACTTGCAACATAATAGTTTGTGGGAAGCCATTTTAAAATCACCCGAATTTCTGCTCCTCATCAAATTGTCAACACAGAAATGCTTTGTACTATTTTTGTAACTTTTTTATAAGTCTGAAATAATTATCAAATAGTTTCAAAAAACTTGAAGCAACTTAAAATTAGAGTTTCAATTCTACCAGATCATAAAATCTCCTTGGCAGGGAGGAAAATCAGACAACAAATAAATACCTGTGCCTTAGACATAAGATTATGAAGGATCGATTTGTCTCAGTATACTTGCAATCACTAAAAGTAAACAATAAATGGTTTTTCCTAAGACCTAGAAATAACAATCAGCTTTTCCTTCAAACGATTTTCTATAACTAAGCACAGTTTTAAAGCAATGCTTCCACTTAACAGTCCTTCCTTAGGAACAAAACATAGCAGTCCACAAACGACTGCCTACTGTGTGAAACCTGCCTGGCCAGATGCATATTTCTCCTGGGTGCTGTCTACTGCACCAGCATCACTGCACAGTCAGAGCGTTCCATTCTGCTACTGAATGCAAACTATCCCCACTCATTGAGATGGGAAGGACAAAAAGGAATGAAAAGGTCCCCCATCACTTACTCTCTAAATCAGAAATAATGAGGTTGTCGTGAAGTTTCACGGCTCGGTGTTGTTCTACTTCATCTTCAAGTTCAAAGATGGTTTCTTTCATGTCGCTCCTCTCTGTCTCTTTTTCTTCTAGCTCTGATCTTAGTTTCTCTAATGTCATATTCAATTCTTCTATTTGTTTCTTAGCTTCTTCTTGGAAGGCTCGGTATTCATCTTCTACCTATACAGAATTGATGGTGCGGATTAGAAAAGTGAGAGCTGCTCTAATAAAAATTCCAGAATGGAAGTATACATTGTTCCAAAGGAAGCTGAGCGTGAATTGCTAGGTATGAACTAAAACCACCTGTGTAAAAACTGTCTGAAAGTATGAAAAAGCACTCTACAATAATATAGGATTTTACGTAACATGCTTAAGCATAATTTGTTGCTACATCATTGACAATTATATTGACATATCACTGAACTTAACTAGATTATGAGGAAATTTTGGAAATTCTTCCTTCTCCAAAGTTTGGACAGAAGGCATGCATCTGATTAATAACATCCTCTCCCACCCAAAAAAAAAAAAAAATTTAATTTTAAATAAAATTAAATTTTTAAAAAATGTCTGATGTGTGACAGTTTCATTACCAAAATAAAAATGGAAACAAATTCTCAAATACTGTCACTGCAGAAGTATCAGCTCAAAGTGCCCTCCAACACATATGCTCCAACAAATAATACATTCCCTAAATTGTATCTCTAAACATCATCACTAAAATAATTAAGATCTAAATTATCTGAATTTTGGCCAAAGATATACTAATGTTTCTTACTTTAAAAATTACTGCACTAAAATAAGAAATAAAATGTTAAGATAGAATCATTGGATAACTCATGCAAATAAACCCTACATCAGCAATCACATGGGGCACAGACCCATGGCCGGAGTGCCAGGAACCCCAGCTGTAGTTCTGCATGAGTCCTCATTATTGTGGTAGATGTAAAACAAGGGGGCTGGACCCATGGTCGCTAAGGTCCTCGCCAGCAACAAGACAGCCCTCTAACAAACAGGAGCCTCCATGCTCCAAAAATATTTTTTAACTCAAAACAGAACTCTATTTGAAAAACTACAACCACAGGAAAAGGGGGAGACATTGCTGATCCCACAGACAGGTCTACTGGCTCTCATCTTTCCTATGCCAAAATACATTAGAGATGAGGAGGTAAAACTGCACAGTATGACCCCCCCTGGGCGCACCCAGATTAGAGACAAATTCTGTTGTTGTCATTCTAGTCCCTTCCTCTCACAGGCAGGAAAACAGTAACAAAACTCAAGTGAGTGGAAATGACATTATTTTAAGAATACTTTTGACTATATCCCAATAAAGAAAACCATTCTCAAGCTTTAAAACAAAATCAGCCTTAAAAAAGTGAATGACAGGGGTGCCTGGGTGGCTCAGTCGTTAGGCGTCTGCCTTCGGCTTGTCATGATCCCAGGGTCCTGGGATGGAGCCCCTCATCGGGCTCCCTGCTCC